TATATAAGGATTTGGCTCATCCAAGGGAGAGAGGGCTGGTTCTTCGGCCGGTTCCTGCAGATAAACTGTACTTCGTTTCTGCGTATTAATTATCTTCCTGTGTGTTATGGAAGTTTTAATTAATGTAATAATGTATGAACCCATGATTAAAGGAACAGGGTGATGCTTTCATTTCTTATAGTCTAAATGGCAAGATTTATAAACTTATAATATATATTTATAATGTATTTTTATGATGGCTATGATCATGATTTATCACTTATATAGCTTTTATGTACAATGAGAGCTTATGCACCGAAGACAAATTCCTCGTGTGTCCAATCACACTTGGCCAATAAAGAATTCTGTTCTGTTCTGTTCTGTTCTGTCCTGTCCTGTCCTGTCCTGTCCTGTCCTGTTCCATTCCATTATGAGCCGCGGTGGTGCAGTGGTTAGAATGCAGTACTGCAGGCTACTTCTGCTGACTGTCGGCTGACTGCAATTTGGCAGTTCAAATCCCGCCAAACTCCAGGTTGACTCAGCCTTCCATCCTTCCGAGGTGGGTAAAATGAGGACCCAGCTTGTTGGGGGCAAATATGATGACTCTGTAAACCGCTTAGAGTGGGCTGTAAAAGCACCATGAAGCGGTATATAAGTGCTATTGGTATTCTATTCTATTCTATTCTATTCTATTCTATTCTATTCTATTCTATTCTATTCTATGCTATGCTATGCTATGCTATGCTATGCTATGCTATTCTATTCTATTCTATTCTATTCTATTCTATTCTATTCTATTCTATTCTATTCTATTCTATTCCATTCCATTCCATTCCATTCCATTCCATTATATTACATTACATTACATTCCAAACTGCAAAATTGAGGGTTGCCAGCTAAAGATTTGACTAAGAGGGATGGCTTCACAGACAGAGAGTCCAGGCCCAGCACTTGGATCATTATATCCTTCTAGTTTACTCTCCCCTTGATTGACCTTGCTCGGAGTCATCCTAGATACCGTCAATGACAATGATTTACTTCTGATTATCTCCCTTTACTTTTTGCTCCAGGGAGAAAATGCCCCCAACAACTACCGCCTCACGCTGGAGAAGTTCAGAGCTTCTTTCCTTCTTGTCTCTGGAATACCAATAGGAAATAATTGGAAAGGCACTGGAAGTCATCCAGGATGACAGTCCCTTGGCTTTGCAACTTTAGCCCCCCCAAAGCCCCACCCCACCCCCACCCCCACTATTTAAACCAGTCACAAAGTAATTTGCCTTGAAGGCTGAAAACATATCTTTTTTAAAAAAAGCTTTTGGGTCAGAAAAGGGTGGGGAGGAAAGAAGGAATATTTGACTATACATTTCAACTCCCGTGCCAATATTTTCTTTGGTGGGACAAAGACCATTTCAGTGCTCGTCTTCCTTGCTCGAACGTAGAATTTTGTTCTGCGTGAAACTTTTCTCTAGCTGTTAACATTCTTTCAAAAATTAAAAAAAAAACACATCCTGGGCAGGGTGGATTATATTACAGCTGGCAGAATATGTCTCATACATCTGGCTAGGATGAAAGAATGCCTCCCCCTCCCTTGAAGTCCATCCCTACGAAGAAGAAACAGCCAAGGAACGAAATTTCTCTGTTTACTTTTTCTCAAGTTGGGCTTTGTTTACGTGCCAGCTGAAATCCAATTGTCCGACCTTTCTACAGACCGTTAGTACCGTGTTTCCCCGAAAATAAGATCCTGTCTTATATTTTTTTGAACCCTGAAATAAGCGCTTGGCCTTGTTTTCGGGGAGGTCTTATTATTTTGGGGTGCATGGAGCAAGATGGGGCTTCTCTTGCCGTCTTACCTGATTTCCCTAACCCTAACCAGAGGAAATGGCAGAGGAAATGCATTTAAATATTTTCGAGGAGGGCTTATTTTTGGGGAGGGCTTATTTTCAGAGGCAGGCTTATTTTCGGAGGAAGGTTTATTTTAGGGGGAGGGCTTATTATCAGGGGATGTCTGATTTTTGGGGAAACACGATATTGCAATATACCATGTCTGGGATATGATAAAGTACAGTGTTTTCCCCCCCAAAATAAGACCATATTGGAAAATAGGCCCTAGCATGATTTTTCTGGGATGCTCGTAATATAAACCCTACCCCCAAAATAAGCCCTCCTTAAGACCAGCCAGACAGACACATTTTAGTACCATATTTTCCCCAAAATAAAAGAAGAAGAAGAAGAGGAGGAGGAGGTGGTGGAGGAGGAGAAGGAGAAGGAGAAGGAGAAGGAGGAAGAAGGGAAGAGGTGGAGGAGTTTTCTTCTTTCAGTGGCCAACCAAACACTTCCCAAAATCCCAAGAGCAGGACTTGAAGACCTTTGGATGCCTCCTAAAGACGTTTGGATCCTTTTCCTAAACCTGTTTACTTCATCCACCTGCCTTACCTTTTCTGCAAGAAAAAGTTACGGCTGGTTTCTTTGTGGTGCTCTATTTAGTTTTGTCGTAAGGAGCAAGTTCCTACTTGTATTCCCACCCTAGATTCGTTCCAATATCGTTTCCTTGCCTTCAGGATTCTTTCCTTATAGACGAGACCCCAAACTTGGAACTGGCAAAGGTGAAAGACTATGTCACCAGATGATCGGAAGAACTAGGAAAGGCTAATGAATTAGAGTGTCCTGCATGCTTAACAGAATGACAGACTGGGAAAGAGACCCTATACCATTTCAGACAAATGGCTCTCCAATCTCTTCTTAAAAACTTCCAGTGATGGGGAAGGAAGGAAGGAAGGAAGGAAGGAAGGAAGGAAGGAAGGAAGGAAGGATAGCAGAATAACAGAGTTGGAAGGGACCTTGGAGGTCTTCTAGTCCAACCCCCTGCTCAGGCAGGAAACCCTACACCACTTCAGACAAATGGTTTTCCAATCTCTTCTTAAAAACTTCCAGAGTTGGAGCATTCACAACTTCTGCAGGCAAGTTGTTCCACTTATTAATTGTTCTCACTGTCAGGAAATTTCTCCTTAGTTCTGAGTTGCTTCTCTCCTTGATTAGTTTCCACCCATTGCTTCTTGTCCTGCCCTCAGGTGCTTTGGAGAGTAGCTTGACTCCCTCTTCTTTGGGGCAGCCCCTGAGATATTGGAACACTGCTATCATGTCTCCCCTGGTCCTTCTCTTCATTAAACTAAGTATACCCAATCCCAGCAACCATTCTTCACACGTTTTAGCTCCCAGCTTCATTCTTTTTTGCTCTCTTTCCGGATGACGATCTGTTATCCATCTATTTCATCCTTTGTAGAGCATCCTCAACCCTCTGCAATCATTTTTTTCCCTCATGCATATAAAAAAAAAAGCTCCGAGGACTTTTATCGTACGTGCTCTTTCCTTAGCTTTCCTAAGGGAGATGGCGAGTCTATCGTTGAGTCAATTCTAATGTGTCTGAGGTGGAGAGAGCGGGATTTGGCAACCTTTCTGAGGCCTTAATCCATGGTTTTTATTTTTATTTTATTTTGTGTGTGTGGAGCTGCCTGCTAGTCAGCCCAATGTAGTAAGGAGGACGGAAGGAAGGAGAAGCTCATTCTCCACACAACCTACCTCAGGAGAATGTCTCCTAGAGAAGAGGCTGAAAGCGACAGCAGCTAATCGTCTCACACAAAAGAGATGAGCAGTTGACTTTTACTCCAGTCTACCTTCCTTAATAATTGTCTCCATCTTTTTTCTCCCCCCACTCTCTCTCCTCCATTTTGTATAACCTTCTTTAAGGCCAGAGCCATGAATAACCGTTGTGGATGAAATGCTTTTGATCAGAACAGCATCAGAAGGAACCGTTTTATGTACGCGTTAAAGGATGATCCGTCTCGCATTATTTGGCAGAAGTTGCACTCCGCAACGCAACCGCTTCTTATTTTGGGTTCGCATAGTTTATCACACAGTTTGATAAATCCCATTTAGTTGCTCCTATCTGGGCCATTCTCTCTTTCACTTCTTTAACTAAGAATCACGGTGGCCCTATCTAGCTAAAGTGGGAACCCTTCAAAAGCCCCATTAATTTAAGCGCTGTGTGCATCATCTTCCATAAAATAAGTTCACTACTTCGGGATGATTAAAGGGTGGACTAGATGACCTCACGGTGTGCCTAAAATGGAAACTGTGAATGCAGCAGCCACACTTTCATAACTGAATGGATTTTACTGCTCAAGGAGCCATTTTTTCTTCCCCCTCTCTGGATTCTAGAGCAACCTTCATTTTCCTACCTCCGTGAAACCATTTTTTTCTTAAAAAAAATCACTCTCTTGATCTTCAATCTCTCCTCTGTACCTTCCTCGCTTTCTCTTTGGTTGACTTTTTTTTGGGGTTCTTCGGTTTCTCTCTTTTGCCGCTCATCCCCCTTCCTTCAATCATCCTCTTCCCCCCACTCTCTCCAAGATCTCCTTCCAACTGGTACGTTGACACATCTGTTTCTAATTTAGACTTTTTTTTTTTAGCAGTATCACTTCGAAACAATGCACTCCTTTAAAACAGGACAAATGAACTCCTGCACAAAAATCAACCTTCTCCAATAAATTAAAAAAAAAAGTTAAATAAATTGGCCCCGACCCCTAAAAACAAGGATTCTTTGTTCAGGTTTGCGAAAAGACAAATGAGTCCAATATGTTTTTTGTTTAAGCCTCCAAAATACCCTTTCCATATTCTACGTGCCTTCGAGAGAGGCAAAGAAAGAGCCTTTACAAAATAGTTAAACCTGGTTAACAGATGATGGTGTTAAAAACAACAACAACAACAACTCAACACCTATCCACAAATCTTTTGGAGAATAGAAGTTGAGGTCTGGGATGACAAAAGCGTAAAGCTTTAACTTTTGAATGCTGGCATTAAGGTTGAGGATGGTAAAAGGACAAGCAATTGAAAGCAGATGAGCTTCTTGCAAACTTTAATGCCAATAGTTTTCCCCTCCCAGAGCCCTTCCCTTGCGTCTTAAGGTTGCATTGTGTAACTTTAAGCTGCCTTCCTGAATTAAATTAAAGACAAAGCCAACTTACCTAGGAAGAAGATGAAAAGCACAGACATTCCGCCTCTGTATGTGTGAGAGAGACCGTTTATTCCCTTTCTTCTTCTCCTTCTCCTTCTCCTTCTCCTTCTTCTCCTTCTCCTTCTCCTTCTTCTCCTTCTTCTCCTTCTTCTCCTTCTTCTCCTTCTCCTTCTTCTCCTTCTCCTTCTCCTTCTCCTCCCCTCCTCACTTCTTCCCACTCAGGAAACTGACAAGCCGACCTGCTCAAAATTCAAAGCAGCGCCTCTGGAATGCGCTCTGGGTAATTGCCTCCGTGCGCCGGGAAAATGCCCAACTTTGCTTCCCTCTCTCTCTCTCTTTCTCTGCCCTCCTGCCGTTCATCCCCCACTTGAGTTTCCACGCAGAGTGGAGGAGAAGAGCCGTTGTTCCTCTCGAGCCGCCGATTCAGTTTGGAGCCTGTCAACATCTGGAAGGGGAAAGACAGAGGCGGTGGCAGCGCAGCCGACAGACACATCTAGAACTGCCAGAGTAATTTGGCATGTCTGGAAAGAAGAGGAGAAAAAGAGAGAAGGAGGGGTGGAGGGGTGGCTGGGTGGGTGGGGAGAAGCAGAAGAGAGAAATCTCAGCCTGCAAGTTTCACCACATGGCTGTGTGTGTGTGTGTGTTGGGGGTGGGTGGGTGGGAAGGAGGCCCCTCCCTACCCACCACCAGGATTAGGAGAGGGGGAGAAAGGTTGGGCATGCAATGAGCTGCTCTCCTTACTTCTGGCCATTGGACAGCCCAACCTTCTGGGAGAGTCGGGTGGGGGGAAATAAATAGGCTTTCCTTGTGTCAAAAGCGGTTAAAGAGATTAAATGTGGAGAAGCATCCTTGTTCCCCCTTTAAAAAAAAAGAAAGAAAGAAAAATAAAGCGAGAAACATGGCCTTCCAGATAGTGTTGACTGCAAGGATGACTCACTAGCGATTCACGATAGCAAATTCAAGCTCCTTGCAAAAAAACCCACCCTCCCCTCTTCCCCGCAGCCCCTGGAGCAGTCAAATCGAACTGTTGAATTGTTGATGGCACCGTTGCCAAAAAATGAAGGGCGGCGTGGTTTTCCTTCATTTGGAAGTACGCAAAGCATGCCCTAGGTGGTTTTCATGGTAGCAGTACAGGAGATTTACGGTTACCACCTCCTATGATATTTATATCAGCTTCCCCTTTCTAGCCCACAACCTGGTGGTCTCCCATCCTTATATTAACAGAGTCCCAACCTTCTTAGGTTTTAAACAGTGGTGGGTTACTCCCGGTTCTCAAGAACCTGTAGTAAAGATAAGTAGAACCTACCCCTGGTTTTAAAGATAAAGGTAAAGGTTCCCCTCACACATATGTGCTAGTCGTTCCCGACTCTAGGGGGCATTGCTCATCTCCGTTTCAAAGCTGAAGAGCCAGCGCTGTCCGAAGACGTCGCCGTGGTCATGTGGCCGGCATGACTAAATGCCAAAGACGCACGGAACGCTGTTCCCTTCCCACCAAAGGTGGTCCCTATTTTTCTACTTGCATTTTTTACCTGCTTTCGAACTGCTAGGTTGGCAGAAGCTGGGACAAGTAATGGGAGCTCACCCCCATTATGCGGAACTAGGGATTCGAACCGCTGAACTGCCAAACTGCCAACCTTTCTATTCTATTCTATTCTATTCTATTCTATTCTATTCTATTCTATTCTATTCTACTAGGATGTTTCCCCAGGAGATTTTTTTCAGTCCTATACAAAAAGGAATAACAGTGATGGCAAACCTTTTCGGCCCCAAGTGCCGAAAAGGTCGCACAGAAATATTGCACAGGCACATGTGTGCTCGTCCAGGCTGCACTCTACAAAAGCTGGACTTCTGGGTTCTAGCACGCATTCGTGCCCGACGATCAGCTGGCTGGCAGGCATGTGCAGGACGGTTTTCAGCACTGCTGCACGCGCGAAGGGATCACACTCCGGGAAAGCTGAACTTCCAGGTTCTGTCACACATGTGCACCCGACAATCAGCTGGCTGGTGCACATGCGCACACCGGTTTTTGGCACCGCCACGCACGCGAAGGACAGCTGATCGTCGCGCATCCATGCATGCCAGAAGGTGGCTCAGTGGCTTAAAAAAAAAAAAAGACCAGCAGGATCCTGGCATTTGAATTGAGCAAGGTTTTTTTTGTTTTTTGTTTTTATTTGATTTATATGCCGCCCTTCTCCGGAGACTCAGGGCGGCTTACAATGCGTTAAGCAATAGCCTTCATTCTTTTGTATATTTATACAAAGTCAGCTTATTGCCCCCACAAACTGGGTCCTCATTTCACCTACCTTAGAAAGGATGGAAGGCTGAGTCAACCTTGAGCCTTGGAGAGATTCGAACCAGCAGTAAATTGCAGGCAGCAAAGTGAGTTTTGCTTTAATTTGCAACTTTTACTCTCGCTTAGTTGAACAGTTCTAACATGCAAAAGGACTCTGGCTGGATTTTTGCAGGTATGCGACAAATCCGTGGAGGCACAAAATTGTGCCTTGTGTTCCTCCCCCTCCCTCAGATTCTAGAAACACCAAGCGTGTCGTGCCGCATTATGGCTTCGACAGATGAAGTCTCAAGCTCTGTCATCAATGCTCCCCAAATGCTTCGTGGCTTTAATAGAATCAATGTGTCAGGAGCCGAGGGAGGCCGTGCTTCCTCCAGTGTCCCTTGAAATCCTGAGACGTTCATGTAAGGCAGAGAATCAACTCCCCGTTTGTTGGCCTGGACTGGCTCTAGCCTTGCTGAATTTAATGCAGCTTATTTTTCAACGGACGCAGATGGAAGTCAAGAGTTATGCGCCTTGGTGGCGCAGCAGACTAAAGTGCTATTAGGTAGCACCAGCTTGCAATTACTGCGAGTTCAAATCTCACCAGGCTCAAGGTTGACTCAGCCTTCCATCCTTTCGAGGTAGGTAAAATGAGGACCCGGATTGTGGGGGCAATAAGCTGACTTTGTATAAAAAAGAACACCGCTTGGGGGGGGGGGCAAAAGCCCTACTAAGCAGGTATATACAAAAGTATGAAGACTATTGCTTAACGCATTGTAAGCCGCCCTGAGTCTCCGGAGAAGGGCGGCATATAAATCGAACCAATAAATAAATAAATAAATAAACCGGCATGGCAATGGGATTCTCTGCATTATGGGGCAGTATATAAATCTAAGTGCTATTCCTATTGCTATTCCCAGTTCCCCCAAACTGTTCCAAATCGGCTCTATACCACCACTGCTGTTAAGAATCTTGGAGGGTCTCTTCCCGTTACTTCCTAGATGAGAGAGAGAAAATAAAATTATTGTGAAGATTCCTCTTTCCTTGGAAGTGTTTAACAAACCTCTCCAAAACTGAATTTAGCAATAATTGGGATGTAGAGAGAAAATGACGTGGTGTCCCCATCAGCAAGTTTCATTTTGAATTTATTTATTTATTTATTTATTTATTTATTTATTTATTTATTTATTAGTCCAATTTGTATGCCGCCCTTCTCCGTAGACTCAGGGTGGCTTACAATGCATTATAGCAATAGCCTGCATACTTTTTTGTATATACTTGCTTATTAGGGCTTTTGGGCCCCCCCACAAGCGGTGTTCTTTTTTATACAAAGTCAGCTTATTGCCCCCACAATCCGGGTCCTCAGTTTACCTACCTCGGAAGGATGGAAGGCTGAGTCAACTTTGAGCCTGGTGAGATTCGAACTTGCACGAATTGCAGGCAGCTAAGCGCTAGCACTTAACAGCACTTTAGTCCGCTGCACTACCGAGGCTCGAATGGCGTTGGAATGTTTGCTTTTGAGATATTCTTTATATTATTCTTTTATCAAGAATGTTGTGATTCAGTCCTTGAATGAATAGAGCTAAAACTGTTCCAGCTCGATGTATCCTGCCAAGCCACACACAAATGCTTCCATGTATCATTTTTCCTTTTCAACTTTTGCCCTAGACATTTTTTTCTTTTTGGAGGGCTTGTAGTGACTTGCAACATCCAAAGAGTTTCATTGCTTCATTGTGGGTCTAAACGTAGTTCTGTTTCCTTCTGAAACTTTTCTTTTCTTGGATTTATCCATGGTTGGCCTACCAGGGGTTGAAAAGCACAATAATCGCGTGCTGGTGGGTGTCACACATTGGCGGTTGTGACGCATATTTTGAATGACAGGGAGCCGCAGCAGAGAGGTGAAAGAGCCACATGCAGCTCCAGAGCCACAGGTTGCTGACTCCTGACTTATACTAAAAGTAGGGGTGAAATGCTGCCGATTTGCACCAGTTCGGGCGAACCGGTAGTAATAAAAGCTACCGGTTCGGGAAAATTGGTAGTAAAAAAAGCTACCAGTTCAGGCAAACTGGTAGTAAAAAAAAGCTACTGGTTCATCCGAACTGGTATTTCCGACGATCAGCTGTGCCGCATGATTTATATTTGCTAGAAAGCAGGAAATCCTGCTTTCTAGCAATCTAAATCGTGAGGCACAGCTGTTCCCCACCCCTCGCTGTTCTACTTACCTTCTTAAGCCTTCTTTTTCCAGGCAGAGCGTGCATTTGGTGTGCAGCGCATATGTGCATGCAGCAAATTGGTGGCAACTCGTGGAGGATTTCACCACTGACTAAAAGCAATAAATTACATCATCCATGTTTCTTAGGAAGAACCCATCGCGTATGAGGGCTAACTCTGACTGCAGAACTTCACATGGTTGCGAACAGACAACAATAGTAATGCATCATTGTTCATCTCCTTGAGCAGCGTCATAAACCTTCTGTTCCCCATCTAACCCTCTCTTGACTTTTTCTTCTTTCTTCCAAAGGCATTAACATATAATCAAACACCCAGAGATGTCAGCTTCAGCTGCCTACCAGCTGCCCTCGTTTCCTTCGCCTTTTTTCAGAAGACTCCCGTTGTAGGCAATTTACGGTTAGGCTGTCATGGCACAGAAGAAAAAAAAATATTATTATTTTTTTGCAGTAACCCCAAAGGAAGTGAGCTTAAGGTCTGATGAAATTAACACTGGCAGCCTTATCCCTTCCCCTGTGCCAAATGATGGATGAAACGAGGAGATCTGGTGCTTTAAAAAGGTTGTGCTAAGTGTAGCTTTGAGAAGCATTAAAGGACCCTCCCAAGAAGGAGGATGGGTGGGGAATTCCTTTAAATATCTGCATCCACCAAGGACTTCAGGGCTGAAGATGAAATATGTATAAGCCCTTGGCAGCTGCAGAAGCATTGCGGTTCATGCAAGACCTTCCATAAATTAAGTATCTGCATGAATGTGAGATTGTGGGTCCCTATTCCCCATTATTGAGTTACAGTGTTCCATAAGGAAACAGTCCCAGGTTCAACTCTACCATGTACAGGGAGTCTTCGACGAATGACCACATTTAAGCCCAAAATTCCTGTTGCTGAGTGAGACATTGGTTGAATGAATTTTATCCCGTTTTTCTTGCCAGAATTGTTAAGTGAACCATTGCGGCTTTGTAAATTATTCATAGGGTTGTTAAGTGAATCTGGCTTCCTCGTGGACTTGTCAGAAGGTCGCAAAAGGGAATCACGTGACCC